GTCGTTTACATGCCCCAACCCTCCCCTTCGATCGACTGGCTCACACGAGGAAGGTTTTCGAGGACCCTGACGCGAACACTGGTCGCTTCTCCGCGGGACGAGGATCGCCTCTTCGCGGGGCGAGGATCACTTCTCCGCGAGACGAGGGTCGCTTCTCCGTGGGACCATGGTCGTTATCTTCGTGGGACGAGGGTCGTTTTGGCGCGGGGCGGGGTGCGGCGGGGGGAGAGACCACTCCCAAGCGCACCGTTTGGCAGCAGCGGAGGTTGAGGTCCTGTCGGCCTTTTTCTGGACTAGCCAGTTTTTTGTAGTCCGACAAGCCCGCTCCAACGGCTCGCCGAAATGCACCCTGCCCTGCATACAATAAATAACGAATCATAAACGGCACAGCGGACTCCGACTTCCGACGAATCCCCAGTTACACGAACGCACGCCCATTTTTACTCGGCACGATTTTGCCTCACGAACCCCGTTTCAACATTCCTTTTCGATTTCGAAGGCTTTCTATGTTCAGCCTTCTAGGGGGGAGCTCTGTAGCACCCAAAAAGATAACTCTTATCTTCCATGTACGATTTACTTGTTGACCGATTGTACATTACTCCTTATTGTTTTAATCTTACAACCGGCTCGACACACAACTGCCTTGTAAGTCCCCGCGCTCACGTGTACGCTCTTGCCTCGCTTCATCCGTCCGCTTATTGTTGTAGCCCATCGAATACAGTCCGCTGTGTTCGACTCCAATTGCCTTCTGATATCCGCGCTTAGTTACGCGCATCGTTTCGGGCTAGTATTAACTAGTCCTACAATACCTCCCAAGCGCACCGTCCGGCCGCAACGGAAGAAATGTCCTATCGGCCCTTTCTCTTGATTATCCAGTCTTTAAGCAGCCCCTCGACGGCCCACCGAAGATGCACTCCAGTCCATACCCAAATAATTGATAGGAAATAACAAAGAAGCCGGGACCCAACGAAATCTACGCGTGCCCTTTCTGTCCGCATGTGTCTACCGCAACTACTACTCTAATTTCTCATCCTCACATTGTCCCACCACTTGATAGCTCTATCGAAGAATTTCCTCATTCAGCCTGCTAAGGGAAGCCACACACTATACACGTTAGCTAGAGGTGGAAAAGACCTCAACTATTGTGCCGCAATACCTAAAAGAAAAAGGGAATAAAATGCAACAGGTGCAACCCAGCTGAGCTACCAGTAACGGATGGACATCGTTCCGGTAAGCTACCTGCAGGCTACTATGTAGCCGAACAAAAAAGATTTACTATGCAGAAGTATAAAATACTAAATTATGTGATCGTGGTTGGAGGGGGACGCTAAGAGGGATGGAGTGGGACAAAGAAACTCACAGCACGAATGCCACTGAGATCGGCTCATAGCCATATCAACAAGTGTATCCAGCCAAACGTGTTCATCGTATTTCGGACCCCAACCAGGGAGCCGAGACCCTCCAACTGAGGCCAGCCTCGAAGTGAGGGCCTTCATTCCTCTCGACCAAGTTATCGCTTGGTCACCTCTCCTCTTCTTCCATTCAAACCCCTGGCGCGCAAATAACGCACGTCGCGGGAGTCAGTGGACTGGCATGCGTAACACGTGGTTGATCCATCGGAGCCGGGTGCGTGAAATAACGGTGCTGAGCGGTTCCTTTCCTTTTTCAAGGGGAGACCCCATAGTGAACATGAAATACTTACGCTTTCAGTATTTTGCGACGTTAGATTTTATCATTGTTTGTATCTTCCGATCGTCTATTTGGTTTATTGACGGCTCGTCTGGCTTCCTTTCGGACTCTGTGACTCGCAGGTGAACTTGCTCTGTGCCCTTTCTAATTTGCTTCCAGTTCATTGCAGCTCTTGACAATACACGTTGGGCCCGGTTACGTGCTAACTTCTGAATAACTGCTATCCGTACTGGTTCCTACTGGTTCTCGTCTCAGCCAGTATCTAAACCGTTTTACAACCAAGACATATGTAATGGTATGATGGGATTTAACATACTTATAATGAATAACCTATCTAAAGTCTAAACTCATGAAAGTAAGGTTAATAAGATAAGTTACGTGGTCAGAATAGTATGTTAACTTTATCACTGCTAGCACAGCGTCACAGTTTTTCATGTTGAATTAGTGACAATGCGAGGGGAAGCGTGGATTATTGAAACTTGCATTGCGATTGGTGGGGTATAGCGTAGGCGTTAGTACACTACCGTTCACTGCGTTTCATTGTTAATGGCTCGCTAGTGCAGATGCAATGTGATTAGTAGTGCACGCAGTGGACGTTGACAAAGCTTGCGTTGTCGAAGATAACACCTCTGAACCAGTCCCTTATTCATTGGTTATTGCAACCGTGTTGCGTCGACGGGTGACGCCAGAGAATGCAGCTGTAGCGATTGTAAATAATTTGCTTATTTTGCATTTTCACGTTTACCTATTTCGCTGCAGTTGTTGTACAGCTTTGTTTTAATTAACTTTTTATACACACACTTGGTTACGCGCTCGCCTTCCGTGGTTCTTCCTTGGTTGCCGCTGGATTGTTGTGATTGTGCGCATCGCTGCCTGCTTGGTTCACGATCGGACTCTACGTACACGCACATTTCGGCATACCTCGGGATTTACGGCCGTCCGACGCTAAGGTGCATCAGGATACTTTATATGTGAGGTAAACCTGACTGACTGGGTATTCTCCTTTATCGGTTCCTCCATATAATTGGTGACCCCGCATTTTTTATTCAACATTTTGTGTATATTTTCCTTTTTTTTCTACACAATGTCTGATCACGCGCCTGCCATTAATGCGTCGGAACATTCTCTTGGACTCGTTTTGCCTTCATTTGACGTTTCTAACCCACGTGTTTGGTTTGTTCAAGTGGAAGCTGTTTTCCGTTTTCGTAAGATTACATCCCAGTCCACTATGTTTTCCTATGTGACTGCTCATTTACCGTCCAACATCGCCTCTGAGGTCATCGACATTCTTGACCCTATGCCCCTAGAGTCCCCTTATGATAAACTTAAGGCAGCTATATTAAAGCGCACTACAGCCTCAGACGAATCACGCCTTCATCAGTTACTCTCTGGTGTAGAACTTGGAGATAGAACGCCATCTCAGTTACTCCGACACATGCGTTCCCTCGTCGGTCCTTCCGCACTCGATGATTCCGTTCTCCGCCAGTTGTGGAGTAATTGTCTTCCTGCGAATACCACGGCTATTTTAGCTGTGCTTGCCGACGATCTTCCGCTAGACAAACTGGCAGAAGCTGCCGATAAGGTTCACGAACGCTTCATTAGAACGTCGGTATCACACGTCACAGAGACTAGCTCCGGCAGCCCCTCCAGAACCACGCTACTTGGTACAATCAGCGAGAGGCTTTCTAACTTAGAGCTCACCTTGTCCCATCTCAGACGCGACGGCGTTCCTTCGCGACGATCCGTTTCTCGATCCAAACGGTCTAGCAGCTCTCGTACACGGAAGTCTCACCGTTATTGTTATTATCACCATCGCTTCGGAGACGCAGCGCGTAAGTGCCGTCCAGGGTGTAAACACCCCAAAGCCTTTTCAACTCCTACGTCGGGAAACCACATGGCCAGCCAGTAATGGCGGCGGCTGTCGCTGGCCAAGTTATTAGTCGCCTGTTGTATGTATTTGACTCCACAACCAAACTTCACTTCTTGGTTGATACTGGTGCAGAAGTCAGCGTTCTCCCCCGTTCTCTGGAAAAACGCCCCCTGCAACCAGCGGGTCCAATGCTTACGGCAGCTAATCAAACTAAAATCGCGACCTACGGCCAGAAATTACTTACTTTGAGTCTCGGATTACGGCGTAACTTCCCTTTCCTTTTTACCATCGCCGATGTGCAAAAGCCCATTATCGGAATCGACTTCCTCAGCAAGTTCGGTCTTGTGGTCGACCTACGTTGTGGGAAATTGCGAGACGATACTACGTCTTTAAGCACACCCTGCAAACTTGCCTCAGTCAATTCTCTCGGGCTTCGCATCCTCATCCCTGACGACTCACAGTATTCTTCATTGCTCCGACAATTTCCGTCCCTAATTCGCGCAAGTAACGACACTTCCAATCCTAAACACGATGTACGCCATCACATCGTTACAACCGGTCCGCCTGTAACTGCTAAAGCTCGACGCTTGCGTCCTGACAAACTCCAGGCAGCTAAAAAGGAATTCCAACACATGCTTGATCTCGGCATTATTCGTCCTTCAAACAGCTGCTGGGCATCACCTCTCCATCTGGTGTCTAAAAAGTCAGGCGATTGGCGACCATGCGGTGACTATCGTGCTCTTAACAACGTCACTGTTCCGGATAGGTATCCTATCCCACATATCCACGATTTCTCCCTTGGACTAGCTGGAAAGTCAATCTTTACCAAACTCGATCTTGTCAGAGCTTACCATCAAATTCCAATGGCGGAGGAAGACATCGCAAAAACTGCCGTGATCACTCCATTCGGCCTTTACGAATTTCTTCGTATGCCTTTCGGCCTCCGGAATGCAGCACAGTCTTTCCAACGCTTTATGGATCAGGTCCTCCGTGGCCTTGATTTCGTCTACGTTTACATTGACGATGTCCTGATCGCAAGCGCCACACCCGACGAACATTTATCACACCTCCGAATGGTTTTCGAACGTTTTGAAAACCACGGGATAAACATCAACCCGGATAAATGCAAATTTGGTCAGCCAACCGTCGAATTTCTCGGTCACAAGATCGATGGTGAAGGTATTAAACCCCTTCCGGAGAAATCTCAAGCAATCCTCGACTACCCGATGCCACAATCTGTCCGAAGCCTTCGCCGATTCCTCGGTATGATTAACTACTACGGCAGATTCATTCCTAACTGCGCTGATTTACTTCATCCGCTTACCGACTTACTGAAAGGAAACTCAAAGACGTTTACGATAACCCCAGAAGTTGAAGCCGCTTTCACGGCCGTCAAGCAGAAGTTCAGTGAGGTCACCTCTCTCCATCACTTGAACACCACGGAGGACGCTACACTTGTCCTTAAGACGGATGCTTCAAGTTCTGCTGTCGGTGCAGTTTTGCAACAGTTAGTTGATAACGAATTTCAACCACTGTCTTTTTTCTCACGGAAGCTTCAACCTGCTCAGGTCAGGTACAGCACCTTTGGTCGTGAACTGCTCGCCATGTACTTGGCTGTGAAACATTTTCGTCACCTCTTAGAAGGACGTCGTTTCATTCTCTTGACAGATCACAAGCCACTGGTGTATGCCTTCCGTTCTTCCTCAGACCGTTACTCACCCCGAGAAACGCGTCATCTGGACTATCTTTCACAGTTTTGTGTTGATGTTCGTTATATCGACGGCCCTAACAACGTTGTTGCCGATGCATTGTCCCGCGCTCATGTGAATCAACTGTCATCGACACCCATCGACTTGGAGAGAATAGCGGCCGCCCAAAACGATGATCCTGAGCTCGTTCAACTTCGTTCAAACTCCTCATTGAAAGTCACCCAACTGCCCGTACTTAACTCTGACATAAGAGTTTACTGTGATCTTTCAACCGGTAAGCCTAGGCCGTTTGTCCCACAATCATTTCGCCGAACCATTTTTGATCATTTTCACGGTTTTTCACACCCTAGTATCCGCTCCACCGTAAAACTCATTACCGACCGCTTCCTCTGGCCCAATATGCGTTCAGACATTAGACAGTGGGCTAAACATTGCCTTAGTTGCCAAACTAGTAAAGTGCATCGTCACACAGTCACCACCCCAGGTACATTTTCACTCCCTGACGCCCGTTTTAGACACGTGCACATAGATATTGTTGGCCCTTTACCTCCTTCCAACGGTTTCACTCATCTTCTAACATGTGTTGACCGTTTTACCCGTTGGCCACAAGCTGTTCCCTTACGTGATACCTCTACCGAATCTGTATCCCGTGCTTTTGTTGAATCTTGGATTTCGCTGTTTGGTGTTCCATCCACCATCACTACCGACAGAGGGGCTCAGTTCAGTTCCACACTGTTCCGCGATCTGAGTCGTTTATTAGGCTGTACTCACATGAGAACAACCGCTTACCACCCCGCTGCCAATGGCCTCGTCGAGCGCTTTCATCGACAATTAAAAGCTGCCATCATGGCTACTTCGTCCGACTCACGCTGGTCTGAGCGTCTACCTGCGATCCTCCTTGGTATACGCAATACAATCAAAGAGGACATTGGGTGCTGCCCTGCAGAACTCGTGTTCGGGACGACCCTCAGACTACCTGGTGAGATGGTACTAGACTCTCGCACCACCGGCGAACTAGACCCCTTCTCGTACGCTGAACGCCTCAAACAGCATTTTCGATCCATTCGACCAACGTCTACGCGGCCTAACCTACGTAAACAGCAAGTCCACCCCGATTTGCACAAGTGTCCGTTTGTTTTCATCCGCGTCGACGCCGTCCGAAGACCTTTAACTCCGCCCTACGACGGCCCGTACCAGGTCTTGTCACGGAAACCCAAGTATTTCATATTGAATAAGAATGGATCAAAAGAATCCGTGAGCACTGACCGACTCAAACCCGCTTACGTCGAACCTATAGTCGATAGTAAAGACCCCGTTTCCTCCCCTCAGCATACCCCCGCCCCTGACTCATTACCCCCTACCCAACGACACACTGACGCTAGTACATTGAGTCCTCCGTGCCCTACGACTACACGCAGCTCCAAACACACACGTTCTGGTCGTGTTGTTTCTTTTCCACATAAGCTTGCTCAATACGTTCCGTAGGCACTTGTCGAGCGTTTTCTTAGTGCACGCTCTAGGGGGGAGTACTGTAGCGATTGTAAATAATTTGCTTATTTTGCATTTTCACGTTTACCTATTTCGCTGCAGTTGTTGTACAGCTTTGTTTTAATTAACTTTTTATACACACACTTGGTTACGCGCTCGCCTTCCGTGGTTCTTCCTTGGTTGCCGCTGGATTGTTGTGATTGTGCGCATCGCTGCCTGCTTGGTTCACGATCGGACTCTACGTACACGCACATTTCGGCATACCTCGGGATTTACGGCCGTCCGACGCTAAGGTGCATCAGGATACTTTATATGTGAGGTAAACCTGACTGACTGGGTATTCTCCTTTATCGGTTCCTCCATACAGCCACCGTTCGTTCCATGGTTCGTACCGCGGGTGCCATTGTCATCGATAGAGGAAAACTATGGACAATACCTTACGTTCTACTATCAGGGATGTCCAATTTCACGACTCTTAGTCAAAAAGTAAATTGACTAATGGGCGAGAAATTCCGCTATGGTGCCGAAATTAGTGTTAGTTTCGTTTTAAAACACGCAAGGTATAGGCTCAGCTAGATTGACAAACATATATATGAGAGACTCAGCGAAAGACACTGACCAAACTAATCTCTACCCATTACAGTACTGTAACGCGCTCCTTGGGTGCATAACGGACCGAAGTACTCACAATGCATTTAACGGGAATTATCTGGTTGGTTTGGCTGGGTACGCCAGACATTGTTTTAACGACCCGTTAGGAAGATAATTTGCCAAGCTTTTTGCCACATGTAGGTAAATAACGACAACCACAGTATCTGGTTGATTGAGAATATATTTAATTTGGTTTATTCAATATCTAACTAGTATTTCGCATGTAGTTATTAGATGCTGACTATCATTATAAACAATGCGTTAACTTTGTTTTGCTTTTATTTACAGTGTAGTTCTTATTGTGTTAAGCAGCGTTTACATTTGATTTATATTTTTTACACACAAGATGTACCCGGCTGTTATATTGAATAATGTTTGCAACAGCCTTTCCCTCTGACCTGAGAGTTCAACTACCGCACAAGCCTAACGTAACTACTTTGTAAGTATGCCAAATACAAGTTGAAGGTCCGTTAAAGTTAAGGCACTGTAGATCGAGTAAACAAACATTTCTTACCGAAAATTTCGGGTTATAATTGTTTTATCATCTTATTATTTGTTAATAAGTAGCATGGTCTCTAAATGTGCACTTTAAACGTCGTCGTCCTGCAAAAACCGAAGCGGATGAAATCCTTTGGTCCTCGTTTTATGAGTCCAGTGCAGCTTGCGGCAAGTCTGCCAGTTCAAGACAAGGTACGGATTCATCTGGTGCTATGCAGTCCGATGTCTGCTTCCGATGGTATCCCAAAAGTGGTACCGGCCCTTGAGCGAACCAGTACAAAGTGCTATCATCCACAGAAAAAGTTCTTTTTAGATGTGCTGAATCTTGCGCTCGGAATGCGAAGCGACAGGCTACCATCTGTGTTGAATTCAAAACACGGATCCAAGTTCACAGCTGTTGAGAAGGCGTTAGCCGAGCTTGCCTCTCTTGCCTCACTCAAAACTAAAGTGGATTTGCTTATGATGTTCCTGAATATTTCGAAGGAGGCTCTGTATCGGACTGTCCCCCTGCTGGCAGTCAATCTGTTATTGGGTAGTTCATCCTATTGGACGCTCCAGTTCACTTTGAGATAACTGACTCCCATGCCTCGGACGGCATCGTTGGTTCTTCACAAATGGAAGGCGACAGGGGCTCAAGGGCCGGAAAAGAAAATAACCAAAGAGCGCAAGGAAAAAGCGCAAATACTCCACCTCAAACCGGAAAGTGATAAATCTCTCGTTGCAAAACCATCTGAGCTGGAAACACCACATGGTGATCAAATTCCCTCAGTTTTACCTAAGGCTGTGCAGGCAAGAGTGAAAACACCAGATGTCCCCATCGTGTGTTAATCAAACTGCGTGCCTACTCCGAACATGTTACCCGGTCTCCTGGGGGCACAGGTCGTAGAGGCTGGCATGGAGGTTGAACCACGGGCCTTTCTGCCTGTAGGACAAAGAAAACGCGGTACAGAACTGGCCGTACTCTTTAAATTAGTACGAAATCTTCAAGAATAATGGGTCAAACAAGCTGGACAGTAAGCCGTACACTACAGTTGCTTCAGCCTCGTCTGATAACGGGCGCTCAGTCTAATTGCCTGCGGCTAAGCCGGCTGCTGTTCATCTAACTTTTAACACTCGTGGGGTATGTACACCCCGTCGAAATGACTCTTTCATGGATAGCAGCGTGATTTTCCGTGACACAGTGGAGTCCACTGCCCCACTTCCCACTGAACGTACTTTGGACGACATACAGTGGTTTAAGATATGCGTAACGAAGCTTCTTCGACCTGGGTTTCCTGATGTTACTGTCCGACAACTGACTAGATTGGTTAACGTCCTAGTTAAAGCACCAAACTCTCGACCGCGCTTACTTGTGTAGTCCTATGCACCCCGGAGGAGCGCAACGAGCTGTTGCAGCTTGCCTTCAAACGGAAGGTTACTGCCCTTAGCGCTCAGCCAGATCTTCCAGTAATGGGTAGGCTGAGGCTAAAAGACGCTATTAGGGATTTCAACACCAAGCGAATGCCTGCTGAACAAGGTCTCCTGTTGGTTAGTTTTTGTGTGGCTCGCCGGCGGTTTTTGCGCCTTACCAAGAATCAGTCCTGGTAGCGCACGACCCATGGCTGGACATTGCGAGTCCCTTCAGATAGTGCTAAGCAAGGTACACAGCCTAAGGAATAATATGTACGAGATAGGTCTGCTTGTAGATGGGTCTCGTCCCTCTATATTCGCATTCACTGAAACGTAGCTGTCTCAGGAGATAACGGACAGTGAAGTACATCTACTTGGCTACGCACTAGATAGATGTGATCGCTTCGTTGGCCTCCAAGGCGGAGGCGTTGCGCTTTACGTCAGCTGTGGATTTTACATTTTGCCTGCCTACATGTTTCAGTCGGCAGATAAAACTGTGGAAGCTCTGTCGATAGCGATTAGGGCTTCCTCAGCTCAACTTACGGTTGTACTTGTGTATAGAAGCCCTGTGAGTGTACACCAAGAGGTGCTTGATTTTATTCCCTCCGAATCCGCAAACAATTGTGTTTGTTACCTTAGGGACTTCAAGCTACCGGACGTTGGCTGGACAGACCTTGCTTGCAACTCGGCGGAAGGTACTTTGGGTGCAGATCTTCATGAGCTTAGGCTACAACTGTTATTGCATCAGTTCGTGGACCTCCCCACTAGGTACCTGGATGCCTAAGTACCATCTATTTTGGACCTATTCTTTGCCAAGTCACTAGACTTCGTAGGTGACATCATTTACAGCTTTCCCTCAGGCACCGGTGATTATGAATGGTTATCATTCCGGTGTACGCTGACCGGACACCAACAGAGCATCGCTGAGCCATATCCAAACTTATGGCGTGCCAACTATCAGGCAACGCGTACAAAAGCTTCTGGGTTGCGTTGCGAAATATCGGTGGTCGATAAGGTTTAGTGGACCTAGGATAAATTTAAGCCTGATCTCACGAAGTATCTACCTCCTACGTTTCGCTTGCGAGGAAATAGGAGAAACGTGCGCGGCCGCTGTGGATAGATACCAGCAGCAAGTACCTTCTCAAGAAACGTCCTAGATGCTGGAGGACCAACCATGCGGCTCCAACAACTAGCACCTGGGATAGATACCATGAGGCTGGGACTAGATGTAAACAACCCTTGAGAAATGCTCGGCTGTTGTACGAAAAGGTATTTGCTGATGGTGCGCTTCGGAAAAGCCAAAGAAGTTCGTCGCTTAAATTAAGAGACGCTATGGTTCAACTTCGCTACTACTAACTTTGATGCGGGCCGATGGAACTCATGCGGATGCAGACTCGGTTAAGGCTGGTGTACTTGTTGAGCAGTATGTAGGGTCATTGGTAATTGAGACCGCGTTGAGTAGCATTGAACTTCTCCCAAGCGTACCTGAGGGTTCTTATTTAGCCGCATTTACTGTGTTGAAAGCGCAAGTCCCTAGGCTGCAGGAAGTACTGCAGCTTACCAATGCAAGTGGACCGGATTCAATTCACCCGGAGCTTCTGCATGAACAATGGAACCATGGTTTATTACGGGTAAAAAGCGTCGCCTAACAAGTCCCGTGGTGGAAATTATTGCGAAAACTGAATTACAAAACAAAGTGAAAAGCGTTTTGGTGGTGTTAGAGCAGATAAACTAAGCCTTCGACGTTCTTGGTTGCACTTCCTAGAGGAGTCTAGAGGGCAACAGGCTCCTGTTTCTGTCACGTCTGCCACGCCTGAATAGCATAGTTCGCGTGCGCTCGCCCGTAGGCGTTAAGTATTTGGGGAAAGATGTTGGGTTCAAACCAACCTAAAGCTCTTTGAGGAAGCCAGAATTGTTTATGGCCGGTTCTCGTCGCATTCTGTACTTGCTTCGAACTCCCGAGACCTTTCTGCACCAATACACTCAGGTCACGCGACTAAAACTACTTCTTCAAGTCCTGGTCTCCAAGCTTTTAAGAGCTCACCAGATAGTGACCCAGATGCACCATCTTGCACCTCGCTACCTTCAACTGGAGCAGGTTCCCCTTGACCATTCGTAAAAGCAAGCTAGATCAGGTTGGAGAAGATGGTTATCTTTA